ACTCCGAGAGAGCAGTGCCACTCCTAAAAAATCGCAGACTTCTCTTATAAAATCTATGGCCGCTCACACATCTTCTGCCTGATTTAACATGCCCATTTTAATTTCTAGTTCATAAATAGTAAATAACAATTAATTACCGCCAATATAATATGTAAGTCTACCTTTAGCATTTGTATTTTTCTGTGTAAGTCTTACAGTACATCACATACATATGTATAGAGAGTTACTTCTACCGTCGGGTGACAGCAGCCAAGTCACTATCCCTCTCTCCACAAAAGTTTTCCTATGTGTAAAATTGTAACTAAGGCCCTGACTCTCTTTTTAACAGGCTTTGAGAAACACCTGTACAAAATACTATAAAAGAGCCAGGTGTTACTATTATAATCAGTAACACCATTTCCATAGAAGGTGGCAGCAAACTAATTAATCAGACACTAACATCTGCTCCTGCTAAAACTTGGGGTTGGGGGGCTGACAAATAATATTCAGAGTATTCCACGGTTGTTTAAGACTGTCACCATGCCAATCCTTAAGCAGTTGTGTGATTTTACTCCTGAGAGTAATCCCTCTGAAGGCAAATAAAATGTAAAAATTGGCAGAATCAGACATTCCTGCCGAGGCGTTTCAATGCCACTTAATTTCAGGCACCGGTCTGCCAGCAAGGAGCCCAGTCATCCTCTGCCTCTTACACATCTGGACCAGAGCAGCTGGGCGTCCTGGCCGGGACACCCAGAGCAGGCGTCTGCAGCCCAGCAGCCATAAAGCTTCATCCTCCTTAGTGACCTCTCAAACTCAAATCCTTGTGCATTTCTGGAAATCCCTCCTAATATCATATCCTTCCTTAATCCAATCCTGCACATACAGCTGGATCCTGCAGGAGCACCTACAGCTGTTATTGCAGTCGGAGGTTGTAATCACACCCTGCCCTTCAGGGCTGCGACCGATCGTGTCAACCGCCCCAACCGCTCGGTCACCACAGAGGATGCCGGCACCTGCCCTTACGAAGGATCAGGCCCATTGTTTGTACAGATGTGCCACAAGAAAGACTACATGTGAAAATACTTGTCAGCCTTCATTTCGTGGCGGACAGCAGTGAGCCGCAGCACGGGCGCAGGCTGGCTGCTGGCGTAACCTCGCTGGGCGCTTGTCAGCTCGGCTTCCTCCGGGCAAATTGCAAGTGAAGTTTGTTGAAAGCTTTTGAGCACTTTCCAGGTTTCAGCTGATTCTCGCTCTGACGGTTGTGCTCAATAATTTTTTCCCACAGTTATCGCACTGGAAAAACTCCCAGCTTTCAAATACATATTTTAAAATACACTTAATTTTCTCTTGCACGGTGAATTAATTTATTTTAATATCTCACTTTGTCTCCAGGCTGCAGATTGATGAGACACGTGCTGATTTCTGATGGACCTCTTAGCCAAGAAAGACCTTCATTTTGAAAGCTGTGACTGAAATTTTAAATGGGCCCAAAACTGGAATACTGTTTTCTGAGTCGACTCCATATGGCACGCGATAGCCTCTCATGACAGAATACTATGTCCTGTTAGGTTAGTCCTGACTGACAAAATCATGATGTTGGGGTAGCCAAAATGCATTACCGC